TAGAGGACACAGGCTGTAGAGGCTAGAGGACACAGGCTGTAGAGACTAGAAAACACAGGCTGTAGAGACTAGAGGACACAGGCTGTAGAGGCTAGAGGACACAGGCTGTAGAGACTAGAGGACACAGGCTATAGAGACTAGAGGACACAGGCTGTAGAGACTAGAGGACACAGGCTGTAGAGGCTAGAGGACACAGGCTGTAGAGACTAGAGGACACAGGCTGTAGAGACTAGAGGACACAGGCTGTAGAGACTAGAGGACACAGGCTGTAGAGGCTAGAGGACACAGGCTGTAGAGACTAGAGGACACAGGCTGTAGAAGCTAGAGGACACAGGCTGTAGAGACTAGAGGACACAGGCTGTAGAGGCTAGAGGACACAGGCTGTAGAGACTAGAGGACACAGGCTGTAGAGACTAGAGGACACAGGCTGTAGAGACTAGAGGACACAGGCTGTAGAGGCTAGAGGACACAGGCTGTAGAGGCTAGAGGACACAGGCTGTAGAGACTAGAGGACACAGGCTGTAGAGACTAGAGGACACAGGCTGTAGAGACTAGAGGACACAGGCTGTAGAGACTAGAGGACACAGGCTGTAGAGACTAGAGGACACAGGCTGTAGAGACTAGAGGACAAAGGCTGTAGAGACTAGAGGACACAGGCTGTAGAGGCTAGAGGACACAGGCTGTAGAGACTAGAGGACACAGGCTGTAGAGACTAGAGGACACAGGCTGTAGAGGCTAGAGGACACAGGCTGTAGAGACTAGAGGACACAGGCTGTAGAGACTAGAGGACACAGGCTGTAGAGACTAGAGGACACAGGCTGTAGAGACTAGAGGACACAGGCTGTAGAGACTAGAGGACACAGGCTGTAGAGACTAGAGGACACAGGCTGTAGAGGCTAGAGGACACAGGCTCAGCTACAGCCCAAATTCCATTTTTTCAGTGTATGTATGTATGTGTATATATATAAAAAAAAATTGTCCACTCACCTTTGGCCCTCCGCGGGCGGTTATCCCTCTCTAAGCTCGGATCCTCTACCAGAGGCCAGGGAGCTTGAGGGTTCTGCGCAGTATCTTTGCTGTTCCTAGCACTGCACATTTCTGGACTGAGATGTCCGAGGTTGTTCCAGGGATCCGCTGTAACCTCTTCTAGCTTCGGGGTCACTGCCCCGAGTGCACCAATCACCACGGGCACTACTGTCACCTTTACCCTCCAGGCCCTCTCCAGCTCCTCTCTGAGACCTTGGTATTTCTCAAGCTTTTCATGTTCTTTTTTCCGGATGTTACCATCGCTTGGAATTGCCACGTCCACCACCACGGCTGTCCTCTGCCCTTTGTCCACCACCACGGCTGTCCTCTGCCCTTTGTCCACCACCACGGCTGTCCTCTGCCCTTTGTCCACCACCACGGCTGTCCTCTGCCCTTTGTCCACCACCACGGCTGTCCTCTGCCCTTTGTCCACCACCACGGCTGTCCTCTGCCCTTTGTCTACCACCACGGCTGGTGGACAAAGGGCATGGTAAGGAGCTTTCGAGTTTTAACATCCGTGGTCGGAATCTCTTCCTTTGGCCACCTGATTATTCCTGCAGGGTATCTGATCACTGGCAGGGCGTAGCTGTTAATTGCCCGGGCCTTGTTCTTGCCATTGAGCCGGCTGTGGTATACCGAGATACTTGTAACTGTCCTCAACGTCTGCTATTGTTCCCTCTGGAAGTGAGATCCCTTCTGTGTGGACTACCTTGCCTCTCCGAGTCCCCATCCTGCTACATTTCTCGAGTCCGAATGACATCCTGATGTCATGGCTGTAGATCCTGGTTGTTTGGATCAGAGAGTCGATGTCTCTCTCGCTCTTGGCGTACAGCTTGATGTCATCCATGTAGAGGAGGTGACTGATCTTTGCTCCGTTCCTGAGGCGGTATCCATAGCCAGTATCCATATATCCATATATATATATATATATATATATATATATATATATATATATATATATATATATATATATATATATATATATATATAGCAGCTGGATAGCTCAGTTGGTAGGGCACAGGACTGGGACCTGGGAGGCCAGGGTTCGAATCCCACCGGGAGCACATTAACACCAACATCCAGTGAGGGTCCTTGGGCAAGACCCTTAATGCTACTGCCTAACTCATAACCATGAAGGTACAAATAAGCAATGAGATGCCGGATCAGCCGTCGCCCGGCCAAACAAGGTCTGCGTCAGGTGCTGGGGAACCAGAGCACCTTGATGAAAAGTGGGCTACTGGAACAAGGCGAAAGTGGACGAAAGTGCACAGCCTGGATTGATTACCAGAAAGCCTACGACTCAATGCCACACACATGGATCATGGAATGCTTGAAGTTGTACAATATCAACAGGGCTCTAAGGGACTTCGTTGCAAACTCGATGGGAATGTGGAAGACCACCCTTGAGGCAAATGGCAAGCCGCTCGCACAAGTGACCATCAAATGTGGTATCTACCAAGGAGATGCTCTGTCCCCACTACTGTTCTGCATAGGCCTCAACCCTCTAAGCCAAGTAATTGACCAGACTGGCTATGGATACCGCCTCAGGAACGGAGCAAAGATCAGTCACCTCCTCTACATGGATGACATCAAGCTGTACGCCAAGAGCGAGAGAGACATCGACTCTCTGATCCAAACAACCAGGATCTACAGCCATGACATCGGGATGTCATTCGGGCTCGAGAAATGTAGCAGGATGGTGACTCGGAGAGGCAAGGTAGTCCACACAGAAGGGATCTCACTCCCAGAGGGAACAATAGCAGACGTTGAGGACAGTTACAAGTATCTCGGTATACCACAGGCAAATGGCAACCTCGAACAGGTGACGAGGAAAGCGGCAACTGCCAAATACCTCCAGCGAGTAAGGCAGGTCCTAAGAAGCCGGCTCAATGGCAAGAACAAGGCCCGGGCAATTAACAGCTACGCCCTGCCAGTGATCAGATACCCTGCAGGAATAATCAGGTGGCCAAAGGAAGAGATTCAGACCACGGATGTTAAAACTCGAAAGCTCCTTACCATGCATGGCGGGTTCCATCCCAAATCCAGCACCCTGAGACTGTACGTAAGCCGTAAAGAAGGAGGCCGAGGACTAATGAGTGTGAGAGCCACTGTCCAGGACGAAACATCCAAACTCCATAACTACATCATGGAGAAGGCCAAAACGGATGACGTACTCAGTGAATGTCTCAGGCAGTGGCGAGATGAGGAGGTGCTGGAGGAGAGCCCATCATGGGAGAACAAGCCCCTACACGGCATGTACCACCGGAGCATAACAGAAGTGGCTGATCTCAAGAAGTCCTACCAATGGCTAGAAAGGGCTGGCCTACAGGACAGCACAGATGCACTCATCATGGCTGCACAGGAACAGGCACTGAGCACCAGAGCGATAGAGGCCCAGATATACCACACCAGACAAGACCCAAGGTGTCGGTTGTGCAAAGAGGCACCTGAGACGATCCAACACATAACTGCAGGGTGCAAGATGCTGGCAGGGAAGGCCTACATGGAACGCCATAACCAAGTGGCTGGCATAGTGTACAGAAACATCTGTGGAGAGTATGGGCTGGAAACCCCAAGGTCTAAGTGGGAAACTCCTCCAAAGGTGGTGGAAAATGAGCGTGCGAAGATCCTGTGGGACTTCCAGATACAGACCGACCGAATGGTAATGGCAAACCAACCTGACATCGTGGTGGTAGACAAAGGGCAGAGGACAGCCGTGATGGTGGACGTGGCAATTCCAAGCGATGGTAACATCCGGAAAAAAGAACATGAAAAGCTTGAGAAATACCAAGGTCTCAGAGAGGAGCTGGAGAGGGCCTGGAGGGTAAAGGTGACAGTAGTGCCCGTGGTGATCGGTGCACTCGGGGCAGTGACCCCGAAGCTAGATGAGTGGTTACAGCGGATCCCCGGAACAACCTCGGACATCTCGGTCCAGAAATGTGCAGTGCTAGGAACAGCAAAGATACTGCGCAGAACCCTCAAGCTCCCTGGCCTCTGGTAGAGGACCCGAGCTTAGAGAGGGATAACCGCCCGCGGAGGGCCAAAGGTGAGTGGACAATTTTTTTTTTTTATATATAAACTTTTTTTTTATGTTATAGACTCAGAGTCTGGTTTCTGATTCTGAACCAAGAGCATACAGGTGTGCAACTCAGATAATATTAATGCATATTTAACATTTTGTTTTTCCATTTAATGTGTATAACTCTTTTATTGCATTTTTTTCTGTCCTGAAGATAAAAGAGTGGATTGAATTTGATTCAGATGACCTTTTTGATCCCACCTCTGACAACAGTGGAAGTGGAGAAGAATTCATTCCTAGGAGTTGTGAGGATTCTTCTGAAGATACTGATGGTAGTGGCATTGTCTCATTTGAGAAGATGAAATGTTAGAGATTTCCAAAGTTAGGGAAGATTATGGAGGTCAGAGATGTAAGTCGCTGTCTGCAAGAACTTGACAGCACCTCTTTGACACAAACTGTGAAGACAGGGAGCGCACCTGCCAGGAAAGAAAGCACCTCTGGTAGGAGCTGTAGAAAGAGAGGTGCAAGGAGTGTATCCTGCCTGTAACCCAGGTGTAAAACCAAATTCCTAATTTAAATGTAAACCACAAAGGAATGGCTAACATATTTAAGTACTAAATGAAAATGTGTACTTCATTTATTTATTTGTATATGTGCCAACACAATGCACTGTAGTGCAGCATATAAGTTGCGTAGCAACAGCCAAAACCTTACGTTCAGATCCACGGTGCACGCGACCCGCTTCCCCTCTCTGACCGGAGTCAAGCAACGAGACACACGCAGCGAGACACACGCAAAGCTCAGCTCCATCATTTCAACAATTCAAAATCGCAAATCAGAGGAAAAATGACATCAATCCAAGCCAAAAGAAGAGTCCTGTTGCTGGCCTGGAGTTAAAGTTGACTGATCGGTAAGAGTTACTTTGTAGTGACCACCGCAACTTTAACGTCCGCAAATGACCAACGGCCGCTACACTAACGGACCTCCTCACTGTTTTAGAGCAGAGAAAAGAGAGAAAGACAAGCTGAGCGCAGATTCCGACACCGTTCCGCAAAGGAACGAGAGAGGATTGGTAAAGAATTGCTTGATTGATGATGTGTTGGCTGTTTGTCTAAATGTTCTAACCGGTCCATATTGATGACAGAGGCAGTTATCTGCGGTCCATATTGATGACAGAGGCAGTTATCTGCGGTCCATATTGATGACAGAGACAGTTATCTGCGGTCCATATTGACGACAGAGGCAGTTATCTGCGGTCCATATTGATGACAGAGGCAGTTATCTGCGGTCCATATTGATGACAGAGACAGTTATCTGCGGTCCATATTGATGACAGAGACAGTTATCTGCGGTCCATATTGATGACAGAGGCAGTTATCTGCGCGAGCGCTCACATCCAGAGCCGTGACGTCACTGTGTCCCGGCTCATACGCGCGTGAATCGGTGAGAAATGTTGTCTGTGACTAAAATGCTATTGTTTATTGTTTATTGTATAAAGGGTTGAAATAATCCTATTAATGGTTTATGTATATGAATAATTAGAAAATGTTTGCATACAGAAAATCTCTTTTTGTTGCTATGTACTGTACATGAGAAATATGTTGTACCTTTGAATTAGAATTAGATTAATTGTCATGACTGGAGCAAGAAATTTATTAGTCTGTCTTTTTAATACAGGTCAGGTCTTTTTAATGAGATTTGGAAACATCTTTGAAGAAGACCACTAGATGGCGAGCCACCCCACCTGAGCCAAAACTGGATGATCCCATTGCAGACCGCATGAGCTATCGGCTGCGTAGGACCGTGTCAGCTGACCACCTTGAACAAAACTTTAAAGTGGTTCTCACCCCCGCTCCTCGGAGCTTACGTCACTCACATTTCCTGTTCAAATCTTCCTCTAAATGGGCGTAGCCTGGAGGACTGAAGGGGGCGTGAACGAGACTGGGCCGTTTACATTGCTCTGGGCGGGGGGCTGCTGACGTCAGGTCCAACTTGCAGACGTCAGGTCCAACTTCTGTGCCAGTGTTGGCGCCAGATTCAAAAATGTAGTAATACAGGTCGCCAGCAGATGGCGCCTCACAGACGGTTTTAGGCAGAAAGTTTAACTTTCAACTAATTTGCACCAAAGTGAAAAAACTATGACCAGGATATGTAGACAACACTATTGGACACTCATTTAAATCGTTTATCAGCAAAAAAAAGTGGATTTGAGGGTGAGTCACAGACTTTAAGGGTTTATTTTTGGGTTATTTTAAAGGCGCCTATTTATTTTGTATTTTATTTTACATTACATTGTATTTGTGGTAATAATTCTTGACATAATTAACTAAATCAATTTACATTTAACTATTGTCTGTCTTTCATTGTGGCTATAGTTCCAACACTTTACATTTGAGCTCTTTAAGAACCTAGTCGTTCATGTTAATTCCAAAGTGGGTTACATGCCCAAGAACACAAACAAGTCCCGGCTACTCCACAAAACAGAGCGAAGGGACCGACACTGGAGCCCTCTTGGAAAAGTCATTATCTGATCTGGAAGAACATTCAGAAGGAGTGGATGGACTGGCTGGTGATTTACTTTCTATACCAGCTGTTTCTAAAAAAGAGGATGGATCAAGAAAGTATAACACAAGACAATATTGTTTGTACTGTAAGAAGGACCTAATTAAAATGGCAAGACATCTGGAGCGTGCGCATAAAGACAAGCCAGAGGTTGAAAAGGCTTTGTCCTTCCCAAAAGGCTCCAAAGAAAGACGCATGCATATGGAGCTTTTAAGAAACAAGGGAAACTTTGCCCACAATGTTGACGTGTTGAATCTTGGTGTTGGAACTCCTGTGCCTTGCAAGCAACCAAAGGACAAATCACAAGTGAAAAATGTTCTGCATTGTGCATATTGTCAGGCCTTGTTTGTAAAAAAAAGTCCTCTGGAGGCACATAAAGACCTGCAAATTCAAGCCGAGTATGCCACTAAAACCTGGCAGAACACGTGTCCAGGCCCTCTGTGGCTTTACAGTGCCTCCACCGACGGGAGTAAAGGAAGAGCTGTGGAAACTATTGAACAACATGGTGCAAGATGATGTTTTCCATGCAGTGAAATCTGACACTTGCATACTTGAGTATGGAGAACATTTGTACAACAGGCTGGGGTATGATGTCAGCAAACATTAAGGGAACTGGGAAGACTGCTCTGGTGCTCCAGAAAAAACACCCACCTGAAGACAATTAAGGAGCACATCAAGCTTGCAAATTTTATGCACGTGATTAAAAGTGTAAAAGAATTGGCAGGGTATAGTTCTGAAAAGCATTCATACAGTTGTCCTAGTCTGGCATTGAAAATAGGATATAGTTTGAAAAAAATATCCTTGCTTGTCGAAAGCCGTTCAAATGTTCAAGGTAACTCCACTGCTGCAAAAGAGGCACAAATATTCTGCAGTGTCTACGAAGCCAGATGGAATGAATTAATATCTGCAGCATCTCCAAGTGATAACTTTGTTTGTTACTAACGTAACAATAAAAATGATTCTGATTCTGATCTCTGAGAACTCTTGAAGAGTCCAATTGATCCCTTTCACAAAAGACGTCCAGACTCTTCACTCCTTTTTGGATGGGCAGCAACAAGATCTTATCTGCAAGTTATCCTCTGACACATCCCCCCAGACATACTCGCAGTTGACAAAGGTAGTTTTGACACAAGTTATATTGTTTAACCGACAAAGAGCTGGAGAAGTGTCAAAATGTCCGTCTCTGCCTATACATCAAACAATGTATCAGATCCACAGGAGGATATTAAAGGACAACTCACCCTCAAATCCACTTTTTTTTGCTGATAAACGGTATAAATGAGTGTCCAATAGTGTTGTCTACATATCCTGGTCATAATCTTGTCACTTTGGTGCAAATTAGTTGAAAGTTAGACTTTCTGCCTAAAACCGTCTGTGAGGCGCCATCTGCTGGCGACCTGTATTACTACATTTGAATTTTGAATCTGGCGCCAACACTGGCACAGAAGTTGGACCTGACGTCTGCAAGTTGGACCTGACGTCAGCAGCCCCCCGCCCAGAGCAATGTAAACGGCCCAGTCTCGTTCACGCCCCCTTCAGTCCTCCAGGCTACGCCCTCGGAGGACTGAAGAGCGGGGGTGAGAACCACTTTAATGTTGCTCTTTCAGATCTTGAGAAGAGACTGTGTAAACACTGCAGACGTATCGAAATCAGAGGCAAACGAGGAAGGAAAGTACCTGTGCTTTTGACCCCAGAAATGCAACAGGCTTTGGATCTCCTTACCAGCAAAAGGAAAGAATGTGGGATTCTAAAAGACAACTTACACCTTTTTGCAAGACCATCCAGTCTGATGTACTACCGTGGCTCTGATACTCTTAGGTACTTTGCAAAGGCCTGTGGTGCAAACAGCGACCCTGTCCCAAGTTCTCAATCTTAGTAAAACAGAATTGGACCAGTTAGCTGATTATCTTGGACATGACATCAGAGTACACAGACAGTTTTATAGATTGCCGGAGGGAACTCTCCAACTTGCTAAAATCAGCAAAATTCTTATGGCTCTGGAGCAGGGACGTTTGGCAGAATTCAAGGGCAAGTCCCTGGATGATATCAACGTTGATCCGGAAGGTGCCAAATCTGATTTATTTATTTTTTTGTTCATTTTGGAGTTCTCATTCATGCTCTTTTCAGCCTCCTTTAATTGTATAAACAAATTGTCATTCACATTCATATATTCTTACTGCTAAATGTATACAGTTTTACTCAAACAATCCTATCACATCCTCAAAGCCTTCTTTCTTCCACAGATACTGTGAACTTTGACACCAAGAAGGTGAAGACTCACTGGGTAAGGCCGCCTCTCCCTTGTGTTATCATGAATCATTTAATTGGGTTTCTATTTTTAATATATATATTGTTTTAACATATACGATGTATGTATAAATGTGTGTGCATGTCAGCTGAATTTCACTTCATTACAATAAATACAAATATTGATTTAATCATTCAGTATTAGGAAGATATTTCAAATTAGATTGGAAGTGTGGTTAAAAATTAAGAGCTCAAATAGTTTTCTTACTAAACAGTCCACTGTCATAATAAAGAGGAGCATTTAATGCATAATCCTTTTTTAATACATTTTGTATTGATTGGTAATGGATACATTTCAAATAAAGGAGAATTGGGATGAGTTTAGATTAATTGAAACTGTAATTTCTATGTTATTTTCACTCAGAGCATGGGATGTGAATACATCACAGGACACGGTGACATCAACACAGGGCTCAGCTGACAAACACAAACATACAACTGAAAGGATCCAAAGGTAAATCTAGTCACATTTTGAAGCTGGTTTCCCAAACAATGCAAATATCAACAAAAACTACTATAACTTTGGTATGTCAATCTAGGGCGGCAACCAAGCAAAGAAGTGGGATGAGATCGCTGCTGTGGAACGGCACATGATGTCTTTCATCACATCCCGCAGAGTTCCTGGGAAAGTGAATGTGATAAACATGGAAAAAACGGCCATTAAATTCTATGTGAAAAATTGCATTACAAGTTTGAAAAAGAAAGTTTAATAAAAATGTAGGGATTGATTTGTTTATTTAGTAGACAGTAAGTGAACCTTACAGATTGTTTCAGTTGCTGATGTTCATTTTTAAATCAATATTTTCTTTTGTAATTTGAAGATTCACTTAATCTGCCATTTTGTTTCTCAGGAAATGTTCTTCTTGATTTATTTTTGTTATTTCTACTGAAAATGAACACATTATATTGTCATTGGGCTGTTTTGGTTGTCAAAACTCTTAAATTTAGGATGACATGTGTGCAAAGGGAAAACAACATAAATATGGCATCTTTGGCACTACAAGTTTTAGAATCATTTATTATGACCTTGTCCTGACATCAAACTCCTGATGAAACTCCTGTTCTGTGGAAGAAAGATGTATAATGTTGTATATTTTAAATCTACACTATTCAGATGTGACAATATTTGACCATTTGGACATCATAGCCAAAAAAGACCTCTGTGCACTCAGGAAAAACCCCAAGGACACAAGATAGTACGGGAATCATAAAGAGGACCAGCTTTCAAAACGGGACAAATTATTAACTCCAGAAATAAACATTCTTGTCTCTCTGGCGAGATCAAAGTCCAAACCACCATCTGGCTAATCTCTTAAGGCAGACTGGGGATTCACCAACGGCGTTCTGACGCCTCCCAGTGGACACGGGACGCCAGCACACCCGAAATGAACATTCGGGAGACGCCCACAAGTGACGTCATCAGACGTCCAGATAAAAACGGTTGGCTTGAGTCCTGGGGAGAGGTCAGCACAGGGCAAGAAGAGAGGGACATGGATTAGCTTTTAAGAGCACTCTTTGTTGGAATTTCTGTATCTGATTGTAAAGATAAATTAAATACAGATGTTAAACTTGGAGAATCTTTGTCTGATTTCTGTACCAAATATTGAACACGTCAGTCAAAGGGAATTATTGACTACAATAACACATTTTATTTTGCAGTTACTCTTGTCATATTGGATTTTAAAGTTATCGTAATATGCCAAGCATTATTACCCTTAACAAAATTAGATGCTAATAGTTAAATTACAAGGTCATTATCTATATTTCATGTTCCATTAGATGGTTTAGTCTTAGCTAACCCCACCAAGTAAGTTAACCTTGAATTTTTTCAGTCCTCTAGAACCTTCAGAAAAGGTGGTTCCTTGTGGTCCCCATGATGCATGTTTTTGTGTTGTGTACCCACGATGTGATATAGACAAACAGGTGTGTGTGCATCTGTGTGTGTATCTGTGGGTACATCTGTGTGTGCATCTGTGTGTGTATCTGTGTGTACATCTGTGTGTACATCTGTGTGTGTATCTGTGTGTGCATCTGTGTGTGTATTTGTGTGTACATCTGTGTGTACATCTGTGTGTGTATTTGTGTGTGCATCTGTGTGTATCTGTGGGTACATCTGTGTGTGCATCTGTGTGTGTATATGTGTGTACATTTGTGTGTACATCTGTGTACATCTGTGTGTGCATCTATGTGTGTATCTGTGTGTACATCTGTGTGTGTATCTGTGGGTACATCTGTGGGTACATCTGTGTGTGCATCTGTGTGTGTATCTGTGTGTACATCTGTGTGTACATCTGTGTGTGTATCTGTGTGTGCATCTGTGTGTGTATTTGTGTGTACATCTGTGTGTACATCTGTGTGTGTATTTGTGTGTGCATCTGTGTGTATCTGTGGGTACATCTGTGTGTGTATCTGTGTGTGCATCTGTGTGTGTATATGTGTGTACATTTGTGTGTAAATCTGTGTACATCTGTGTGTGCATCTATGTGTGTATCTGTGTGTATCTGTGTGTACATCTGTGTGTGCATCTGTGTGTACATCTGTGTGTACTCCTGTGTATCTGTGTGTACATCTGTGTGTGTATCTATGTTTTTATCTTTGTGTGTGTATATCTGTGTGTGTGTACATCTGTGTGTACATCTGTGTGTACATCTGTGTGTGCATCTGTGTGTGCATCTGTGTGTGTATCTGTGTGTGCATCTGTGTGTGTACATCTGTGTGTACATCTGGGTGTGTATCTGTGTGTACATCTGTGTGTAAGTCTGTGTGTGTATCTGTGTGTGCATCTGTGTGTGTAAATCTGTGTGTGTATCTGTGTGTAAGTCTGTTTGTACATCTCTGTGTGTATCTGTGTGTGTATGTTGTACTACACAAAGATAACCCACTCTTTCAACTCATATTTATCGGGTACAACAAATTTACACTTTTGAATTGTGTTGATTTTTGCGAGCGAAGGCAATGTAAGAAAGTAATATTTATTGATATAGCGCCTCTCACAGACCAGAGTCTGTCACTCCACACAGAGATGGGAGGAGCCAGGAGGCACAGACCTATTGTACATGTTTTCAGTGGTAGGGGAAACCAGAGGAAACCTACGCACACACAGGGAGAACATGCAAACTGTTCGGACTGGGATTCGAACCCGGGACCTTGTTGCTGAGAAGTGAGAGTGCTATCCACTCAGCCACCATGCCGCCCATAATCTACAAAAGCAGCGACTTCCTCCAAGTCCATATTCGGATGTGTCAAAAGAGTAAGAATCTCCGTGTTCGTGGAACTTCTCCTGAAGTACAACTCCACAAAACTCTCCACGGGCCTCATTTTACCACTTTGCATTCCTTACAGGAAAAGTGGATAAAGTGTCTTGCCCAAGGACACATCGACAGCAGACAGCAGTGGGAGTCGGTGGAGAAGGTCTCACAGTGGACTCAAACCCACGACCTTCAGGCTCAAAGGCCCATGCTCTGCCACCTGAGCCACTGTCGGCCCACACACAGCTATATGTTATGACTTTTGGCTTGTAAATAATTATTTAGTGAAAACTTCAATCTCAAATTTTAATATTGTAAACATGACCCTGATGCTCCGTGGTAATTATGTTTGCATTTCTCCAGGATTGATTCAAGTATCTCTCTGCTCTCTGAGGTCCGGCTGAAGCTGAGAGAAAGTACATCCCCAGGTGTGTTTCTGACGAGGGAGCGTTGGACCAAAATGCATCTTGAACAGTCTTATCCCTGGGCTTTTCATGGTACATTATTCTAACTTTTTTTTGTACACTTTCTAAGATTAGCCGCTAATGAGGCAGACCATTTAAAAAAGTTCAAAGTCAAAAACTATGACCTACATTTCTGTCTCCACTGTAACTGTACCCTGGTCTCAAATACACCATAAATATTCATTCAAAAGTCAAGAATATGGCCCCACAGGAGGAGAGAGGGGTTTGAAGCAGGGGACAAGGCTGACAATGAACTTTGATGGAGGGTGAGAAGGGTTTTATTCCTCCTCTGGGGCCGAAGCAAACTGTCCACTCAGCACTTTACTGCAGAGACAATGACTTAAAAGGCCAGGCTCTAATTACAGTCATGTTCATGGACTGCATCACTGCCAGGCCTCCCTTAGCCGCTTCAACATAGTAATTATCGCCAGAAAACACAGGTTTGAGAAATTCATGCTGCAAAAGGATCTTTACAAAACAGCTTTCAAGAAATGACGACAATCTCAGCGGTAACACAATGTGACTTTTCCAACTTTGAAAGAGTAGCTCATACAGACTTAGTCCTGCATCATCTGGTCTTACCATGTGTAAACTCTGGTCCATGATCATCTCCTACATGTACGTCTGGTCTTACCATGTGTAAACTCTGGTCCATGATCATTTCCCACATGTACGTCTGGTCTTACAATGTGTAAACTTTGGTCCATGATCATTTCCTACATGTACGTCTGGTCTTACCATCAGAATCAGAATAATTTTTATTGCCATGTAAGTAACAGAAGTCACAGACTTGGAAATTGCTTTGGCTTAGTGCAACAGTCAGAGAGAGATAATAAAAAATAAAGAATAAAAAACACTTACGAGGAATAAATGTACATTTAAAATAGAGTTACAGTTACTATTTACAATATCCAAGTGCACATGGTGCACACAATGTAAGGTGACAGCAGTACAGTGAAGTAAAGTGACGTATGATGGGCAGTAAAGTGACTTTATAAAGGGCGGGGGGACAGGTTAAGAAGTGTTCAAGAGTCCAACAGCAGAGGGGAAGAAACTGTTCTTGTGGCGGGAGGTTCTAGTCCTGATGGACCGCAGTCTCCTGCCTGAGGAGAGTGGTTGGAATAGTCCATGTGCAGGGTGAGAGGGGAGGGGTTGGAATAGTCCATGTGCAGGTGAGAGGGGAGTGGTTGGAATAGTCCATGTGCAGGTGAGAGGGGAGTGGTTGGAATAGTCCATGTGCAGGGTGAGAGGGGTCGGCTGTGATACGACCAGCCCGGCCTCGAGCTCGGGCGACGTACAGGTCCTGCAGCGATGGAAGGCTGCGGCCGATCACTTCCTCTGCAGAGCTCACAATGCACTGTAGTCTCTATTTGTCCCTGACTGTGGCTCCAGCGAACCACACGGTGATGGAGGAGGTGATGGAGGAGGTGATGGAGGAGGTGATGGAGGAGGTGATGGTGGAGGTGATGGAGGAGGTGATGGAGGAGGTGATGCAGGAGGTGATGGAGGAGGTGCTGGAGGAGGTGATGGAGGAGGTGATGAGGAGGTGCTGGAGGAGATGATGAGGAGGTGATGAGGAGGTGATGCAGGAGGTGATGGAGGAGGTGCTGGAGGAGATGATGAGGAGGTGATGCAGGAGGTGATGGAGGAGGTGCTGGAGGAGGTGATGGAGGAGGTGATGAGGAGGTGCTGGAGGAGATGATGAGGAGGTGATGCAGGAGGTGATGGAGGAGGTGCTGGAGGAGATGATGAGGAGGTGATGCAGGAGGTGATGGAGGAGGTGCTGGAGGAGGTGATGGAGGAGGTGATGAGGAGGTGCTGGAGGAGATGATGAGGAGGTGATGAGGAGGTGATGCAGGAGGTGATGGAGGAGGTGCTGGAGGAGGGGAGGGACAGTGCTCTTCCTGAAGTCCACAATCATCTCCACTGTCTTCTGGGCGTTCAGCTCCAGGTTGTTACCACTGCACCAGGACACCAGCCGGTCCACCTCCCTCCTGTAGGCGGACTCATTGTTGTTGGAGATGAGTCCAATGAGGGTGGTGTCGTCCGCGAACTTGATCAGCTTCACGGAGTCGTGGCTGGAGGTGCAGTGGTTGGTGTACAGGGAGAAGAGCAGGGGAGAAAGAACACAGCCCTGTGGGGCTCCTGTATTTATAATCCGAGAGTCCGAGACATTCTTCCCCAGACGCAGAAAGTTGATGTCAGCGTGATGTCATCAACACGAGACGTGTGTAGCTGAACGCCGTTTGGAATGGCCGACTAAAATATGATTAAACTATGATCTCCTAACTGTTTGCCTCTGCTGTGGATAATACAGTGGCCTGTTTGGTGCACACTCATCATGCCTGGAGATGCGCTTACAACGGATGACATCCAAAACACAGTAAGCAAACAAATGGACGCACTTTTCCAAGATAATATTTTCATACGGAAAATCACGCAGACACTGGTGGACTCCCTCATTGAACCGATTAAACGGGCTCTTACTGAATCCATTACGGACTCTGTAAGAAACTCTCTTAAGTATGAGCTGCAAAACATGACTGACTCAATGAATGAACTAAAGGACAAGTATAATGACATCGAGGACTCGCTAGATGAGCAAGAACAGTACTCGAGGCGGAACTGTCTTGTTCTTTTTGGTGTCCCGGAAAATGATCAGGAAAATGTAAACAAAGTCGTCATGAATGTCTTGAAAAACAATCTCAACATAGCGGTGCAACCTGGTGATGTTGACAGGACCCATCGCCTCGGTCCTAAATCCACCACGCGGGTCAAACCACGGGGGATTATCATCAAATTTGCCCACTATAACCTCAGAGACAAAGTCTACCGGACGAAAAAACAACTGAAGGGTGTAACTCCAAAGATGCACATCCTGGAAAGCTTAACAGCTAAACGCTCAAAACTACTGGATGATTTGCGCAAAAGCTACAAGGACAAGCTGGCTGCAAGCTGGACACAGGACTACTCACAAATGCAAACCAACGCCACGTGTTAAACAAACTATCTGACCTTAATAAGCTACGGATTCGTTGACATTGGATAAAGTGCCTATTTTTACCTAAATCTGTGAGTACTAACCATGGATCATATGACTCATAATTTTTAGAAACAGTTAAAGTCGGCCTGATCCTCCAAAGGGATTTTTTGTTTGTCTTCACATATCTTGTTTGACTCCTTTCCTTATCCTTCCCATCTATCTTTTCTTTTGCTTTTGTTTGGTGAATTTCATTTGTTTAGGTTAGTTTAGGTTCAGGTTCAGATTTAGGCCTTAGTCTTACCAAATGCTTACCGGTAATCTCAATATGGTACCACTATTTGCTACACACATTGGTTCCCTAATATGTATCACTCATAATGAATGGTTTTTAATGATACCAATGATGAAGTACTGAAACAGCACTCCTTCGAAACGATTGATTGCAAACAAATTACACCAGAACATTTTAAATATATTACAAATAAAAATAAGCATCCCTTATCTTTTCTACATCTAAATACGAGAAGCCTAAACAAGCACCACGATGATCTGATATCTCTGCTGACTAGCCTGGACTACAAGTTTGATTTCATAGGGTGCAGTGAAACATGGCTCAATGAAAAGACTTGCCTAGATACCCTAAATCTCAAGGGTTATGTACTGTATAATAAAAACAGGACTAGTAGATCTGGTGGTGGCGTGTGCTTATATGTAAACAAACTCCACTCTGTGACCGTTCGAAATGATTTGTGCATAAAGGATGCTCCCTCGGATTCCCTATTTGTTGAAATCAAAGTCAAGAATGGGAAAAACATAATAGTAGGAGTGATTTATCGTCCCCCAGATTCCGAGGTAAACAAATTCTTAACTAATTTGGATGAGTTACTAAATATAATAAATCAATCCTGTAAACCTTGCTTTATTCTAGGGGACTTTAATGTAAATCTAGCCACAGAAAGCATTATGAAAAATGATTTCTTAAACTGCCTGTCCTCCTCATCCTTCTTCCCAACAATCAATATATATACACGCATAAAAGATGCATCCAAATCAATGATTGATAATATCATCACTAATATTCACAATACTAGACTTAACTCAGGTGTAATTTTATCAGATATTACTGACCATTTTCCCGTTGCACTTCTTGCTGACCTGGAAATACAACTAAATGACTCTGTAATAGAAACTAAAATAAAAGTGTTCAATGAAAATAATTTACGTAAATTTTCTGAATATCTAAGAAACTACTCATGGAATTCTGTCTATTACTGCAAATGTCCAGATGGAGCATATAATGCCCTGATCCATGAAATAATGGAAAGCATAAATCTATGTATACCTGAAAAAATTCTAAAAAGAAAAGTGGAGGATGGGAAAAAATGGCTTACACAAGGAATCTTGAAATCAATAAAAAAATAAAAATACTTTGTACCGCCATTTCAAAAACGGAGAAACTGAAGCGAATAAAATGAAATATATTACATATAAGAATAAATTGACAAAAATTATTCGTAAAAGCAAACAAATGTACTATTCTGAGCAGTTAAAGGCTTCTTGTGGCGATCAGAAGCAGTGCTGGAAAGTACTTAATGAGGTCCTAAACTGGGGTCAAAAAACAAATACATTACCTGACACCATAATGAATGCAGCCAATGGCTCCACTGACAACAATCTTGCTAACTGTTTCAATGAGTATTTTAACTCAATAGGTGAAACCTTATCCAATAATATAAGTCCAAAAGAGGGAGCCAATTACAAACAGTATCTAAAAGGCAACTATCCGGGCTCTTTCTATCTCTCACCAACTGACAAATATGAAATCACTAATTTAATTTTGGCCATGAAAAGCTCCAACACAGCCGGTGCCGACAGTATAAGCAGCAAAATCGTAAAATTCATAATTCATGAAATTGTTGACCCTCTAACTTACTGCCTTAACCTCTCCCTTCAATGTGGAGTGGTGCCAAAAATGACTAAAATTTCCAAAATTCTCCTCATATTCAAATCTGGTGACAAAAATGATATTAAAAACTATCGACCAATATCTATTTTACCAACACTATCGAAAATATTCGAAAAAGTTGTCTATAAGAGGTTAATTGACTACTTAAATAAACAAAATATTCTCACAACATCACAATATGGCTTCAGAGAAAAGAGCACCACTTGCATGGAAATTCTGGATCTGGTAGAAAAAATCAACGACGCTATCGATAAAGGCGAGTGTGGCATCGGTGTCTTCCTTGACTTATCGAAAGCGTTTGATACTATTGATTTTAACATACTCCTTGGCAAATTGCAACATTATGGTGTCAGAGGTTTAGCACTCAGTTGGTTCAGCAGCTACTTAAATGAAAGGGAGCAATATGTGTACTCTAATAATCAGACTTCACACCGTAAAACCATTAAATGTGGGGTCCCACAGGGCTCAGTCCTAGCCCGCAACTATTCATTATTTATGTAAATGACTTTCCAAATTCATCTCAAATCCTCCATAATGTAATCTTTGCTGATGATACAAACCTATTTTTATCCCACAAAGACCCAAAACGTCTACAAAACACTATAAATGATGAATTAGGAAAAGTAGACACCTGGTTCAATTGTAATAAATTAACATTAAACATAAATAAAACCAAATTTATTGTATTTCGCTCTAATAGAAACAGGAATCTTGAAAATATACATATCTCAATAAACAGTATAAATATTGAAAAACTAAACTGTATTACATTTCTTGGAATTCAAATTGATGAACACCTGAATTTCAAAAAACATATTGATCATCTTGTTAAAAAATTATCCAAATATGTCGGCTTATTTTATAAATTGAGACATTTCCTTCCCCTTGAGGCCCTTTTGATTTTGTACCGATCCCTTTTTGAACCCCATCTAAATTACTGCAACGTGATCTGGTGCAACACATTCCCCAGCTATCTTTTGAAATTACAAGCTCTTCAAAAGAAAGCCATTCGAGCCATTTCTTGGGCCAAGTTTAACAGCCCCACTGATCACTTATTCTATAAATATAAGCTTCTGAAACTGACTGAGTGCAGCCTCTTCCAAAATGCATGTATAATGTAGTGTTTAGACCTAAGGACAGACTGGCTCATCCCAATCTCTACACCTGCTCATGATTACAATACAAGACATAAAACCCTTTTACAGGGAAAAATTAGAACACTCAAGTGTACAAGCTTCAGTGTGGCGTGTAAAGGCCCACAAGTTTGGAACGAGCTGAACATTAACATTAAAACCGTAAGATCTCCGGCTATTTTTAAAAATAAACTAAAAATTGAGCTTCTAGAAAAGTATAATAAACCCTAGCTGATGACCTCTAACAAGACTTATGTATTTATGTTTGATTGTAATATGTAATGTGTGTAAGCAAAAAAAATAAAAATAAAATAATAATAATAATAATTCGTACCTTTTAAGTAAATTGATGAAACTCTAAGCTAGTAAAAGTAAGGTAAGGCAGTTTTAATTAGAGCAGGTAAGGTTAGTTAGTAGGTAATAGAATAGGTATCTAGGGTAATATGTATAGGTTACTAATGTATGTTTGTGTTCTTAATA